TATATCTATCAGTAGAGTTTTCATGCCTTTCCCTTCCTAAGCTGTCCTGAGGGAATGGTCATTGTTTGAATTCTGAAACAGAGTCCCAGGGCTTCACCCCTTCCTAGTACTGTGACCTTTAGAAAGCAGCTTAGCTACTCAGCATAGCTACTTCCTCATTTATGAAATGAGTTTCACAGCAGTGTGACAAGAACCAATGTCTCCTGCCAGACCTGATGGAGTAGGACTTTAGTCCCAGCACTAGGAAGGCAGAGGCTGGCAGATGTCTGTGAGTTTTAGGCCAGCCTGGTCTACAAAGTGAGTTCCAGGACAGCCAGGGATACACAGTGAGACCCTGTGTCAAAAACATAAAACAAAACAAAGAACCAGAGCATACACAGGGCAGGACCCAAACACTATGGCCATCAGACCCAAAGAGAGGCCATGAAAGGCTTCCTGGAGGAAGGGGTGGAGGAAGCTGGGATTTGTGGCAGTGGTAAAATTACTTGTTGTTAGCCAGACTGTGGTGGTTGCACACCTTGAATCCCAGCACTTGGGAGGCAGAGGCAGGCGGTGCTTTGTGAGTTCGAGGCCAGCCTGGTCTAAAAGAGCTAGTTCCAGGACAGCCAGGGCTGTTACACAGAGAAACTCTGTCTTGAAAAATAAAAAGAAAGAAAGAAAGAGATTACTTGTTGCCAAACTGCATCTCTAACACATGTACCAAGCGATGCTTTATGCAAGGCCTAGGTGAGTGACAGCTCACCCACCCTCAGTAGCATTGGGTTGGGGCACACACATGTGCAGGTATGACTGCACATAGTGGCGATCAGAGGTCATAGGTCTTCCTCAATCCCTTGCCACTTTGTTTTCTGAGAAAGGGTCTCTCACAGAGTTCTGTTAGGCTAATGAACTCCATGGATTCTATTGTCTACTCCTTCAACCCTGAGTCTGGGGCTACAGACATGTGTTCCTACACTAAGTTTTTATGTGGGTGCTGGGATCCAAACCCAGGCCCTCATGCTTACACAGTAGGCATGTTACAGACCCCAGGCCCTCATGCTTACACAGTAGGCATGTCACAGACCCCAGGCCCTCATGCTTACACAGTAGGCATGTTACAGACCCCAGGCCCTCATGCTTACACGGTAGGCATGTTACAGACCCCAGGCCCTCATGCTTACACGGTAGGCATGTTACAGACCCCAGGCCCTCATGCTTGCATGGTAGGCATGTTACAGACCCCAGGCCCTCATGTTTGCACTGTAGGCATGTTACAGACCCCAGATCCTCATGCTTGCATGGTAGGCATGTTACAGACTGAGTTATCTCCCTAGCTCCCAGCATTGTTTTTAGCAGTCATGAAACTTGTTAGGCATGGTGGCTCATGCCTGTAATCCCAGAATTTTGGCAGAAGAGGCAGTAAGATCATGAGTTCAAGGCTAGACTGGGTCATTTAGTGAAATTTGCTGAGGTCAAACATGACTAAATGAGTTCTAATATAAAAAATAACTACAGGAAGAAAATCTGCATGATACAGAGAGCCTCTGGAGTCGCTCCTGCTGTCTGGTGCACTCTGGGTTCCTGGGAATTGCACGGACAGAGCTGTGGAGCATGCTGGGGGAAGCTGTGCTAAGTCTCAGCCAAGCCATGTGCTGTGCCCATGGAAGAGGTTAGGAGAACCAAACCTTCAGAGTTCAGAGTATTTCTCCCGGAAGCCTCTCCCACTCCTGGGGGTTCGTTCTCCTTTTCCTTAATAAGCCTATGTTCACACTAAAAAAATTCAATAATTAAATATTTTTTATTTCATTTTATTTTATGTGTATAGGTGTTTTGTTCACATGGGCATCTGTATGTATACTACATGAACACTTCATGCCTGAGGAGATCAGAAGAGGGCATCAGATCCCTGGAATGGGAGTTACAGATGGTTGAGAGCTGCCATGTAAGTGCTGGGAATTGAACTTGGGTCTTCTGCAAGAGCTGCCAGTGCTCTTAACCACTGAGTCATTTCTTCGCCCCAAGACTAAAACTTTTAATTCAAAACAGAATTAAATCAGTAAAGTGCCTTGCTGAGCATAGAGGAGCCTGGGGTGAAAAAAAAATCACAAACTTGGTGTTGATCCTGTGTTTTTAAGTTTTGCTATTTTGTTCCTTGCAGATTTATATATTACTGTTGCTATCCTAGAATGCAATCTCAGAGCTGGGGAGGCCATTAAGACTGCTTGCTGCTCTTGCAGAGGACCAGAGCTGGGCAGCTGGCAACTGCCTGTAACTCCAGCTCCAGAGTATGTGATGCCCTCTTCTGAGCACCTACATGCTCTCTCTCTCTCTCTCTCTCTCTCTCTCTCTCTCTCTCTCACACACACACACACACACACACACCCGCCAATGACAATAACGACAAAGCACAATAGTAACTGTCACTGGATTTGTGGGAATATGTCCTTAAGTATTTGGTAGCTTCTCACTGCCCTCCAGCCCAATTCCAGCTTCCTCCCTGAGACTTTTTTATGGATGTTCCTGGTTCAATGGCCTGAGGTACAGGGTGTTGGATGCAGATGTAATGGCAACGCTGGCTGAGGCAGAGGCAGGGGTGGGGGTGGAACAGTGCTGTGTCCTCCTGGAAAGGACACTGGGGGCAGGGTAGGCTTTGGGGAGGTGGTGCCTAACTGTGGGAAAGGAACCTTTTAGCTGAAGGGAGGAAGTGAGAAGGGGTGGGGCTGAACTTGAGAGGAGTTCTGTGGTAGGACGAGGTAGCAAGACCAGGGCAAGGATTTTAGTTCCATAGACGGGAATGGGTGTAGGGACCAGTGGCAGTGGTATACGTATAGTGGTATAGAGCATCAGAACTGGTCCTGAGAAGGGACTGAAAAAAATCCCAGATACCCCTTTTTGTCAAGGTTTCTGTTGCTGTGACGAAACACCATGACTGAGAGCAAGCTGGGGAGGAAAAGGTTATTAGCTTACACTTCCACATCGCTGTTCATGGAGGGGTGCTTCTTACTGGCTTGTTCCCCAAGGCTTGCTCTGCCTGCTTTTTTTTTTTTTTTAATGGAACCCAGAACCAATAGCCCAGGGATGGCACCACCCACAATGGGTTGGGCTTTCTCACACCTAACACTGATTAAGAAAATTCTCTACTGGCTTTTGTACGGTCAAACCTTTCGGAGGCATATTTTTCTCAGTTGAGGTTCCCTCTGCTCAGATGACTTTAGTTCATGTCAAGTTGACATAACCAGCTAGCACACCACCTCTAAGGCAGCCTAGGCTCTGTCTTCTCTGGGGAATCCCCAAATATTTGAATTTTGAGAACACAGAATAATCATAAGGAAATCATACCCGCTGCAGATGTAGAAGCGAGGACACTGGGTAGTCTCAGGAGCCTGTGGCTGATTCTCACTCATGGCTGAGAAGATATCCCTTGTTTATTGGGTCACCTCCGAGACCATGCATGGCCATCAGTCAAAGCACAGCTCCAAACAGGCGAGCCCGGCTGAGAGCTGTTACCATTAAAACCTATTTCACTTAATGCTAAAAAACTTGTGGGCCAAGTTCCCAGGCAAAATGTATACGTTGCCCTCTGTTGTGGTATAGTTGCATTCTGAAACCTCAGAGGACACTTGGTGTTGACAGAGCAGGTAGACACTGGGGCCACTCTTGGGTCTTTATAAACCTTAACAGGTGACTTTTAGGAGTGAGCAGCTGGAGGCTTCCTTACACTGCAGTGTGACCCCTACTTCAGTCCACTGAGAGCTCCTTAGACAGTTGTGGAGGGCAGGGTAAAGAAGCCTGCCAGGCTGACTACCTGAATTTGATTCCTGGAACCCAAATAAAGGTGACTGGCTTCACAGAGCTGTCTTCTGACTTTTACAGAAAGCCGTGGCATACCCTTGTTCACACGCATAGCACACACACACACAATGATAATAATAAATAAAAATTTAAGAAGACGGGAGGCAGAGGCAGGTGGATCTCTGTGAGTTTGAGACCAGCCTGGTCTACAAGAGCTAGTTCCAGGACAGGCTTCAAAACCACAGAGAAACCCTGTCTCGAAAAAAAAAAAATTTTAAGAAGAAAGACAGCCCTTTTAAAGGTCCGGGACTGTTAATACCCCAGGTTTCAGCTTGGGAATTGAGGAGGAAGGTGGAGCTGTCTATTAAACCCCAGGTGGAGGAGTGGGATTGGAGTCCTATGATCAGTAAGGTCTGGGCACCACACAGAGGTCCAGGGTAGGGGTGGAGGCTGTATGTAAGAGAAGTTGCTACCAAGTCGCCCAGTACCACCTTGCTGGAGTCCTTCAACCCTTTACAGGCGCTGTGAATGCACTTCACCCTGCATTCTCTCATCTCATGGTTCCACAGGTCCACTGGCGACCTTTCCAAACCCAATTCAATGTGCCTACTGCTCTCTGTTGCCCTCCCTGAACGGGCCTCTGGTGGGCCACGGTTCCCTGCCCGATGGCGTCCATCTTCCTCGGTTAATCCCTGCCTTCCAGAAAGTACTACTCCATAGAGAGAAGCCTTTTCTCACCCCACCGCTCGCTGGGTTTCTAGACACCAGAAGGAATTCAAAGATTAGATCAGCCCCTGGAGCTGCTGGGGCTGGAATCCGGGACCTTGAGTGAGCTGGGCACCCTCCTACTGGGCTACACCCCAAGCCCATGCAAAGTAAGTCTACAAAGGGATTTAACAGTCCCGGAGGACACGCTAATTGGCTTCTGGATCCTCGACGCCTCGCACTTAGTAGGAGCAGCGGAATAAGTTTTCTGAAAGAATAAACGGGTGCGGTTTTACAAAGCCTTGGTTCTGCGAGCCTCCCGGGCCTCAGTTTCCCCACGTTGTAGGCGAGCGGGCCTCGGACGTGTGGCCAGGGCTGGACTGCTGCAGCCTTCGCGGGGGCGCGCGCGGGTGGACGTGACCGCGCGGAGGGGCCCGCCCCAGGCCGGCCACCGGCGCATGCGCATCACTGTCGGCGTGCTGCGGGCCGGGAGGACGCGGGGGCGGGGGCGGACGCGGGAGGGAGGCAGGAGGAGGGGCGGGCCCGGCGCGGCTGCCGGCCGGCTGCTGGAGGCCCAGGGCCGGGCCCGCGCCGCGATGGCCCTGGTGACCCTGCAGCGCTCTCCCACGCCCAGCGCCGCATCGTCCTCCGCCAGCAACAGCGAGGTGAGCCCGGCCGCGGCCGCGCCCTCCTACAAGGTGTGAAGCGGAGGCGCGTCCGCCCTTGGGGTGCAGGCGTCTCGCATCCCGGTGACTGAGCATGCGCGAGGTCGGGGTCGCACGGCGGGCGGGAGGGCGGCGGATGCTGCTAGCGCTCAAGGCACCAGGAAAGGCTGTAGGTTCGCGGTCCCAGGGTGGGCTCCAGGCCTGGGTTCTATGCTGCTGAGAGTTGGGGTGGATGGAGACCGTCGTGCCCCGGTCCCCAGGACGGCCTGCCCTAGAGTGCACTGCCCCAGCCCGTTCCCCCCACCCCCGCCATGAGCCTAAGGCCTCTGAGTATACCCCCGAAGACCTAGACTGCTGCAAGGGACGGCCCGCTGTGCTTGGACTAGCCATGCAGGCCCAGGAAGTTGCCTCCGGAATCTGAGCCCTGTCCCCTGGTTGTGTGTGCCTGCATGAACCTCTGGCTCAACAGCCCTGTGTCCCCGTGGTGTTGCGGTTTGGTCCCGTCTTGCCGGGACTGGCAGGCACATTTGCTGAGCGACTGTGAGGTTAAGCCTCCAGGGTCCCTTCTGTCTGAGGCTCTTGAGTTAGATTGTAGTAGAGACTCTTCCCACACAGCTCGGTTCTCCTACGTCAGTTTACAGAGTAGTCATGTTCTTCCTACAGAACTTCAGGAACGTAGGGAAGAGTGTGGCTCCAGAGGGACTGTACAGGCCTTTGCAGTCTAAATTTCTCTTCCTTCCTCTCTCCCTCCTTCTGTCTCACCACGGAGCTCTGGTTGGCCTGGTACTATATAGACAAACCTGGACCCAAACTTGGCATTGGCCGCCTGCCTTTGCCGCCCAGGTGCTGGCATTTTAGACGTGCCCTCCACACTTGGCTTTCAGCCTGGATTTCTGACCAACTTCCATATTGTTTTTGGTAACTTAACACCTGATCACTTCCTGTTCCTGCTGTAGACACGTTTTTAGATTTTAAATCTTTTTTTTTTTTTTTTTTTTTTTTTTAGCTGAGATGTAATTCACAGCTCGTGAATTTACTTTTGGGGAGTAAATTCAGTTTAGTTGACTCAGACCATGCCCCATCACCGCTAAGTTCAGAAGCTATCAGCACCCCACCCTCCTGGGTCAGCGCCCCCACTCCAGGAAGCCCCTCTCTCTTCTACTTTCTCTACCTTTGCCCTTTGGTGTATGGAGTGTTGCCTTTGTCTCGCCTTTCTCTCTCAGCACAGTGGTTTCAGGGTTTACTCGGGTTGTGTCATGTGTTCGTATATCATTTCATGAGTGAACAATCCATTACATGAAGGGAAAAGTTTTTCTGGAAATTTATTAGCACATTATCATTGTTTTATTATATTTTTAGTGCTAAGTGTTGAACCAGAGTCCTGTGTGTTCCAGCTACTGTACTACATCCTCAGACCATGTTTTGTTTTGTTTTCAAAAAAATTGTTTTATTTTAAATTGTGTGTGTGTGTCTGTGTCTGTCTGTCTTTATGTGCACCTGAGTGCAGATGCCCACAGGGACCAGAAGAGGTCTTTGGATCCTGTGGAGCTTGGGTTACAGGGGTTTGTGAACTGTAATTACCTAATTCAGTTTTAGTAGATACAAGATCATGCCCCATTACCTCTTAAGTCCCGAAGCTGTCAGCACCCATCCTCCTGGGTCACCGCCTGTAGGTGCCTTTGCCCCTCATTCAGGAGACCCCTCATCCGAGCTGTGTGGGGAGAGTCTACTACAATCTACAGTTATTGATGGGGCTGCCGGCATCTGATTTTAGGTCCCCTAGAAGAGCAGGTCCTCTTTTAACTGCTGAGCTGATTGCAGCTCCGTCTCAGCCTACAAATTAAGTTATTATAGAGTTTCTCTTTGTATGCCTGTCTGTCCTGGAACTAGCTCTGTAGACCAGGCTGGCCTCAAACCCACAGAGATCCACCTGCCTCTGCCTCCCTAGTGCTGGGATTAAAGTTGTCTGCTACCACTGCCCAGCTATATAGGGCAGCTTTTTAAAACCAAGTTCCGATGACCAGTTAACAAAGCTCAGCCAAAGGGCTGGGGAATGTCAATGCTGAAAATGTGAGAAAGAGCCAGCGCACCCCAGGGATGTGAGAGGTAGAGACAGGAAACCCCCAGAACAGGCTCCATGGGCAGGCTAGTGAGACTAAGAATCCGTTCAGTGAGAAGACCCTGACTCAATGTGGAAGACACCAACATCGTCTCCAGCATCCACACACAGTACACATACCTGTATACACACATACATTGCAATCACACACACGTGAACGCATACCACTCTCACACACAAGTACACACACATACAAGCAGAAAATGATCCAAACAAACCCTAAAGTCCCAGACGGCTTTTTGTTAACTTTAGTGTGTGATGCATTTGTCTCCTATGATGTAGAAGAGGCTGGGTTGTTCCTGGGTGGCAAGGCTCCCTTCCAGATGTGCAGAAGCCGGAAACAAGGCAGGGAGGTAGCAGGTGAGCCTTGAGTTGGGAGACCTGGGTCCAGATTGGCTGTGCCTCTGGCCTGCTCTTCCTCCACTTGGCTCCTTCTGTCTCAGTCAGCTCGTCTGAGAGGCCTGGATTGCATCTTAAGGATCATGGTCTTCGCCGGCTCTTCTCTGGCATTCCTGACCTTATGTCACCTTTCAATGGAAAACCTCAGAGGGTAACTGAGAAATAAATGGCTGTGGATCCTCTAACCCCCGCCCTTCCCATCGCCACCACTTATCAGAATGCCACTTATGAGTCAGGGACATAGTAGTTTCCTGACACAGCAAGGCTAGCCGTGAAGCCTGGGAAACCAAGAGAAATCACAGCCCTTGGCTTTACAGCTATCCTGTCCTCTCATTTTGTCCCCCCCCCCCCCCCATTCCTTCCTTCTGGATCTTTAATTATCTCATGCTTGTAGTTTCCCTGTTAACCTTATCTGAACTCCTTTGTGAGAACAAGGCTAGCGGAGGAATAGCTGCAGCAGCCTTCCTAGAGTGTTTTTGAGGAATGTGCAGGGTTCCTCCCCCCCCCCCCCCCCCAGGCATAGGCAGGCCTCCAGACACTTGGGCTGGGCCAGGGTTTCTCAGCCTCTGTCTCTGTGCTGACACTGACACTCAGGGCCAGAGCCTTCTCATTTCGCAGCATCCTGTGTTCCCCCCACTAGATGCCAGTAGCACCCTCCAGAAACGCCTGGGTGGCCCCTGGTGAACAAATGCTTATATGTGTTGTTTGCTGCTCATTTGCTTCCCTCTGTCCCTGTGGTGTGTGAGCCTTCCCTCGTTTCTTCTTCTCCCTTACAGCCCAGGAGCTAATGTGGTCTATTCCCAGTGTGTGTATCTGTAAAGTTGTACACAGAATCTTCATATAAGGCAGATGCCAGGACCTTATGGTATACTCATTCTTGGTTGAAGTTGCCACCTCTTGCTGTATATCCTGGATGCCCATTTTCCTTCCTACCTTAGCTCTAGACCCGATTCCTGTTATCCTTGGCCGCCGGCTGGATCATCCGTCCATCCGCCGTCAGCCTTCTGTCAGTCCTGACCATCACTAGCTCCCAGGTTCTCTTCCACTCAGTGGATGCCTGAAGAACACAAGTCCCTCTGGGGCAGCCTTGTGTTTTCTTCCCGTTTTATGTTTTCTCCCAAAAAGAAGTAGTGATGGGGTTAGGGGATGAATTTAGAGTTAAGTGCCTGGCCACCTTCTGTAGAATAGCCTTTTTTGGACAGGCCTGACTGCTAGGTTGTCTGAGCTGCTCTTAAATTCCCAGCTCAAGCAGTGCGCCTGCCTCAGCCTGTTTAGTAGCTAGGAGGACAGGTGTGTGGCCCCACTTTGGAATGGATTTTTAAGCTGGACTTACTAGTGCCTGGCTTGACAGAGAAATAGACTTCCTTAAAGCATTGCCCTGTTTCCCTTAAGAGCAAAACCAAAATAAGACTCAAGAGGCAAGTGTGTCTGAGAGCTGAGGGCTGAAAGCATGTGCTGGGTGGCAGAGCCTCAGGTTTAGTCATGGGACTGTGGCAAGAATTGGGGTAAGCATTCAGAGAATGGGGTTAAGCATTCGGGAACCTGCAAACGTGGTGGGAATGACTCAGGGGCTACACATCAGGTTGGCAAGGAGAGGGCAGGGGTGTGACGAACACGCCAGCCTCCTTCCTGGATGCCTTTATCTTTTCCCGGCACCCGGGGGAGCCTGCTCTCAGAGCCGATAGCAGCGTCTATAGGGTTACATTCTCTTTCTCTCCGCAGTTGGAGGCTGGCAGCGATGAGGAACGGAAGTTGAACCTCAGGTGAGCCCACTTGTGTTTGTTCTTAGGTCTCGCAGACAGGTAAGGAGCAGTGTTGCTGCACTTGAAAAATCTGATGCTTTACCTGTGTGAAAGTGTCCTAATGGAAGCCGGGAACGGTGCTGGGCAATGGTGCTGCATGCTTGTAATCTCACCCCTTGGGAGGGATGTGCATCTCTGAGTTCGAGGCTAGCCAAGGCTACATGGTGAGCTACTACTGTATGAGTTACTGCTTGCAGTGCACACCTCGAATTCCAGCAGTTGATGAAAGCAGGAGGTTTGCAGGTTGAAGGCCAGCTTGGGCTACATAGTGAGAACTTGCCTGGAAAAAACAAAAAAAACTCGCCTTTAATCCCAGCACTTGGGAGGCAGAGGCAGGCGGATCTCTGTGAGTTTGAGACCAGCCTGGTCTACAAGAGCTAGTTCCAGGTCAGGCTCCAAAGCCACAGAGAAACCCTGTCTCGAAAAACCAAAAAAAAAAAAAAAAACAAAAAACAAAAAAACAAAAAAACAAAATACCAAAAAACGAAAGAGAGAAGGGAAGCAGCTTGGACTTACGTAGTAAGACCCCTATCTTTTTTTTTTTTTTTTTTTTTGGTTTTTTTGAGACAGGGTTTCTCTGTGGCTTTGGAACCTGTCCTGGAACTAGCTCTGTAGACCAGGCTGGTCTCGAACTCACAGAGATCCACCTGCCTCTACCTCCCGAGTGCTGGGATTAAAGGCGTGCGCCACCATCGCCCGGCCTAAGACCCCTATCTTTAAAAAAATAAAAAGCTGGGGATGTGGCTCAGCAACAAAGCCCTCGCCTATTGTTCACAAAGCCGTGGGTCCATCGCAGCACTGCAGTAAATGAAAAAGTTAAGTAAGAAAACATACGTGTTCATCTGCTCACTGCTTCAGGTGGGAGGAAGTGCTAGTGATGAAACACAGGGCCCCAAGCATGCTAAGCAAATACTCTGCTGCTAAACGACGCTCCAGCTCCATAACTGCTTAGCTTATCCTTTGGAAAAGGAGGCAAATAGCTCCTTTTTCTGTGCTCTACTTCATTTTCTTTTTGTTGTTGATGTTTTGTGTGTGTGTGTGTGTGTGTGTGTGTGAGAGAGAGAGAGAGAAAGAGAGAGAGAGAGAGAGAACAACTTGCAACAATCAGTTTTCTCCTCCCTGTGGGTCCCAGGGATAGAATTCAGGCCCTCAGGCTTGGCAGCAAGCACATTTGCTGCCCCGCCCCCTTCAGCCCCTGATACATTTTCTTGCAGAAGTTCCTGTTTGTGTTTGATAATCACTGCACAATGCCCTCTGCTTTTCATCCTGCTTTCGACAAGCTGCTACTTTTGAAGTCACAGCATGGTTTCTTGGAAGTAGATATTCAACTTACTCCATCAGTTCATGTGAGGTGGGCTTGTTCTGTGAGATTGTGACCCACCTATAACCGTGCTCACTTAGAATGTTCCTGAGAACTGGAGAAGGCTCAGCGGTTAAGAGCACTGGCTGCTCTTGCAGAGTACCTGAGTTTGGTTCCCAGGACATTCACAGCCACTTGTAACTCCAGTTCCAGGGGATCTGACTCCCTCTCTGGCCTCAGGCACCAGGCATGCATGGGTGCTTAGGGATACATGCAGGCAAAATTCCCAGTCACATAAAATAATAATATATTAAAAAAAATTAACTGGGTGGTGGTGGCACATATCTTTAATTCCAGCACTCGCAAGGCAGAGGCAGGCAGATCTCCGTGAGGTCAAGGTCAGCCTGGTCTACAGAGCAAGTTCAGGACTGGCTCCATAGTTACTGAGAAACCATGTCTCAAATAAATAAATATTCCCTTAAGATGTAGTCATCAGTTACTGTATTCACTCAGGGACACCAAAGTCACCTTACTTTTCTTTGCCAGAACTGCTGGGTCCCTTCTTTTTGTCCACCTGAAGTCTGAACAATTGCTAAATATAAATATGTTAATGCAGTACACAAACTTTCAGATATTTTCCTTTTTTACAAACTTTTATTAAAAGATTTGTTTACTTTATGTGTATGAGTGTTTTGTGTGCACATATATATATACCACATTCATGCCTGTGTTGTGAGCTGGGTGTTGGGAACTGAACCTGGGGTCATCCTCAGGGGCAACAGATGCTCTCAATGACTGAGCCAGCTCCTCAGGGATATTCTTTCCAAAGAAAAGTCTGTTTTATTGTGGGAGAATTAAGATCAGTAATTGTAAAGGAAGGAAGGGTCTGAAATGGTACTCGGTGCTGTTGAGTACTGTGCTCCGGTGTTCTGCTTACACTCTTACAGAAGTGCTAGAGATACATCCCGTCTGTCTTTGGTCTTCGTAAGTTTGAGTGAAGGGAGGAAGTTTTCCCCTTTGACCAGGCCTGTGTTATTTGTGAGCGTGACACATGTGGGAAACCCTGTTCTGTAGGAATATACGTGATAGCTACAGCAGTTGCCAGAGCCTTGTTGCCATGTTATGCTGGATGTAGGACAAATTGACTCTTCCACCCTTGGTTTTGGGCAGCTTATGACCCAAAACTTCCAAGGCTGGAGACGCTGACTACTGGGGGCAGTAATGGGCTGCTTTTTGCTACATAGTGTCTGTGTGTAGGAGGGCCTGTGGAATCTGGGTGTTGGGTGCAGGCCCGGAACTGGGAGGAGAACTCCTTGAGGGTGGTGGGGCCCCAGAGCCTCTGCAACTTCCTGTGCCTTCCTGCAACCCTTCCCTTGGGTCAGAATTCCTTCTACCCTCCACCCATCCCTTCCTCTCTGGGCACTGAGCCAGAGAGAACATTGAACTAGCTTTGTCTTTAATTGCCCTTAATTAGCAGAATGCATAGTGCTTGAAGATGTTTGTAGCCAAGAACTTAGAAAGAGCCGTGATAAGAAGCTACGTCTGTGGTCCTTTCTTACTAATAAAAGGGAAAACGGCTTGATGTGGAGCTTTCGGGAACCTGACAGGAGATGGAGTTGGTGTCTTAGTGGACAGTGACATCTCTATATTCCAAGTGATGGGTCCTAAGCTCAAGTTCTGTGCTTGAAATATTCTGCAAAGTCAGGTGTCTGTGGCATGGCTGTGCAAGCCTGTCACCCCAGTTCTCTAGAGGCTGCGGCAGGAAGATCTCTCTGGTGCCTGCAGAGTTCAGGGGAAGCCAGGGTTACATTACAAGACCGGCTTAGAAACAAAGACACACACGCGTGCATGCACACACAGGCACCCGAGGCCCTCTGGCTGTCCAGATGAGTCAGTTCTTTTGGACCCACAGGTGAAGGAACTGACTGAAGAACTTAAGGCAGCTCCAGAACCAGAACCCAGAACTCCCCTTGGCTTCATTCCAGCTCCTGGAATGTCACCCATCCAGGCAGAGCTGGGCCCTTTGCACAACAGGATTCCAAAGCCACTGTGGCCCCAGGGAGAGCCTCAAACTGGAGTGGGGTCTGGGTTTTCATGAAGGAGAGGGGTTGCTGGTCGGCTTCTGTGTGTCTTTAGCCTTCCTTTTCGTCTTCTTGACTCACCTTGATAGTTTACCCCCACTTTTCAGGCAAAGGACACCATCCTGCTTTCTAACAAGGAAGTTCTGTGTCTAGGTTTGACCTTTGACAGCTGTTCTTTCAGACACTGCTCACTCCCGTTTCAGATCTCCTCTCTGTCTCCTAGAAAACAAAACAAACGTGGAATGGTGGACCGGCCAGGTGGTTTTATTTGAGGCAGAAGAGTGGAGGAGAGATTTCTCTTTGCTTTGGATTGGCCCAGAATGGTAAACAGCCATTATTCACTGTGCAAGGTTGAGGGAAAGACTGAAGCCTGCCATGTAGGGTGGGCGTGCTCCCTTAGCTCTCTTCTGTCTGCCTCGGGTTTTGCATACCGGTGTCAACAACAATGGATTGAAGGTTTAAATGTTACAATGTTGCTGGTATGTACTTAGTCCTAAAGTCTTGCCAGGGTGCAGAGTTGTTTTTTTTTTTTTTTTAAACTCATTCACTAGGCAATCCAGTGTAGCAACTGTTTACCCTATAGATACAGTGTGTGCACACCTGCATGTCTGTTCTCAGAGGAGAAATCCCGCATCCCTATAGACTTGCATGCTTGTTTTTATGGAAGGAATCCCCCATCCTGTAGATACAGAGTGTGCACACCTGCATGTTTGTTTTCACGGGAGGAATCCCCCCATCCTTATAGATATTGAGTGTGTACACCTGCATGTTTGTTTTCAGGGGAGGACTCCCCCATTCTTATAGATACCGAGGGGCAGCTGTGATGGTGTGCGCTTCAGGGTCATGTAAGAGATTAGACTGGCTTGTCTATTTGCGTTACTGAATCCCAGTCAATCTTCTGGGTCTCCCTGACTCCTTCCCATGTCTCTTGGGTAGTGCCATTCTCTCTCCCAGTCCCCCACATCACTGTGTTCTGCTTTTCTTTCCTCGTACTGCCCACATCCTGTATTTTGGGTCCCCGAGCTGATCCCCTAAGCTGTGTCTTTGACAGTAGGCTACATTTCTCAGTTCCTGCATTTCAGTTCCTGAAAGTACTTTCATCTCACATGTGACTTCTCTGGTCCCAGAGAGAGCAGGTAGCCGTCCTCTCGTCTCTCCGTGATGGAAGCTGCCCCCCCTGCCACTCTTGTTGCAGCTCTCTGTGATTTTTGTCACATCTCTTCCCACACATGGTGTTTGTGTAGTTGAAGGGGATGAAGATTGGGCTTTGTAGTTATTATAAACATGAGAGGTAGCAGGTTGTGGGTGATGAGCATGTGAGGGCCTAAGTCAGGTGAGTCTGTGTAGATCCCAGCCCCCCACTGTACCAAGCTCTTTACCCTGAGAAGTCCTGGCCTTTGCCTCTGTGGGGCTCACGTGTGGACTGGAAAACAGCCTCCTGGGGCTGGTTAGTAGCTGGTGGAGAGTTCCTATGTGACATCAGATGTGTGCTTGTTGGTTATGTGTAACCTTAATATCTTTATCGGTTGTGGCTTGCGGGCACAGGAAAATGGTCACCAAGGTGTCCTGGCTACATTTCC